CATCTCGATTTAGTGGCAGTGGAAGCAGCTCTGACTTCTCTATGACCATCAGTGGAGTTCAGGCTGACGATGCAGCAGTTTACTACTGTCAGAGTTACCACAGTGGTGGCAGGTTCACACAGTGATTTGTAGTCGTACAAAAACCTCCCTCAGTCAGACTGCAGAGACACTGAGCTGTTACAGCAGGAACTGAGTACAGCTGCTGAAGAGGAAGAAACTCTGACACAGACCTCACAGTAACCTCCCTGAGCAATAAACACATTCAAGGGCATTTTAACACAAGGATTTAAATAAATAAATAATTACATTTTTAATGAAAATATTACAACTACTTCTTGGTTAGATTTCCTGACTGTAGTCACAACAAGAGTAGTCGTTCATATGAACAAATAAAATATATAATTATTATCTTTGTATTCATATCAAGTTTGCTCACTATGACACAAGAAAACAACAAAAGCCAACTGTTAGTTTCAAGTTTTTTACTACTGTGTTATGTCACATCATTTTCATACAATTCCTCACCATTTTCAAGCTATTGACATATTGAAACATCAACTGAAATCATGTAGTAGATAGTTTTAATTGTAAATAATAAATTTAACCCATTGTGCTTGTCATTATCTAAGAACACCCCCCCTTCCCAACAAACAAAACCTAAGATATCATAAAGAGAATTTGTGGTTATTGCAAAACATTTGTGCTATGCTGACAAACATGAGTCAACCAGAGATTAAAGTGAAATTTTGAAGGAGGGGGAGCCTCCTTGTGTGTATGTGTGTGTAGCTGTTGTCAGCTGACCTGAACAAAATGTAAGTAGAGAGCCATATGACTGATTTCCAACTACGCAGCGACTATAAAGATAATATAAAAGACACATTTACTATAGCACAGGGCTAACACACAGAGATAGACAACCATTCACACTCACATTCACTCCCACAGGCAATTTAGAGTTACCAACTAACCTATCCCCAAGAACTGCATGTCTTTGGACAGTGGGAGGAAGCCAGAGTACCCAGGGTGAACCCACACAAACACGGGAAGAACACGCAAACTCCACTGGTGGTGGAACTGAATTCAGGACCTTCTTGCTCTGCAGCAACAGTGCTAACCATTGTGCCACTGTGCTGCTCCCCCCAAAAAGAAAATTATAATGTGATAATTTCTAAGCTATTACCACTCTACTTACGACCTGTGGTAGTTTCTGTGTAATAAGCATGCAAAATGCAAAGCAGCCTTTTTCTATATAATAACATATTAATAACCTATTAAAAACTGAACTGGAAACACTGATGCAGAATCCTAATAAGTTTAAATGAAGACTACACATGAATACATTAGATTCGCATATGCGTGTAGAGGATACTCTTTCACAGCATAATTAATATCTAGATGACAATACATAATATGGTAAAAATATTTCAGGTAGGAAAGAAAGTAGAACACAATCATGATGACCAGTACACAAAAATAGGATATATAAATAAAATGAAAAGATTAAATGATCCTCTCCTCAGCTGACCTCTGTGTTTTGGGTTTCATTGGGAGAGGTGGGTGGTTTCTTCCTAAAACGAGTTTTGCACACTTTCATGCATCACTGCTCCTCACAGTTTAAGTTCTGCTGTCACACACGCTCTCATGCACTTCCACTGAAAACTGAGTCAGGATGGTGTTTCCAATGTTGGTGGTTCTTTTGTTAGGCTTTCTGAGTCAGGGTGAGAGATTCTCACATTTAAGACACAGACTGTTTTATATTTGATGAAATTTTCTTTGTTCTTTTTATGTTTGTGTCTAAAAAACAAACTTGTCATTTTATTCTTCATTTCAGAGTCATTTGCCAATAACTTTCTGACTCTGACTGATAAAACCAAGTCTGTCAGTCTTGGTGGGACTGTGACCATCAGTGCTACAGGGAGTTCAAATATTGGTGCTGATCTCAGTTGGTACCTTCAAAAAACTGGACAGCCTCATCATTAACTTTCTTCTCAGGAACTCTGACTCGTTCAAGTGGCAGCAGATCTGGTTCTCAGTACACTTTAACCATCAGTGGTTTTTGTTTGGGCTACCATGGTGGTGGAGTGTTCACACAGTGATTTAGAGCTGTACAAAAACCTCTTTCAGTCTGACTGAAGGCTGCAGGTGCAGAGACAGACTGCAATGACAAAAACTGCTCCATCAAACACAAACACAATGAATCTAAACAAACTGAAGAACTACATTGCTGGGATTATAAAGATTTTTAATTAAATGTTCGTAAGTAAATAAGGCAAAAAAACAAAAACAACTATAAAATGTTATGTAATATTTACTGGACTTCAAAACTGTCCATATTTCAGATAGAAATATGAGGGTTTAATAAGCATTTATGTGCAATAAAGTATTGGCACAATGATTACAGAAAAGTGATTTTTCAGAAGCTTTTATTTTGTTATGACTTGTTTTTTTAACAGCATATTTTTAAAGCAGAATATGGATAAGATTGGTTGGTGAAATTTGCATGCACATCAATGGAGAATGATTTTTTTTTTCAGAAATATTGCAACAGAGGAAACACAGTGTTATTTGGAGACAGGAAGTGTTGCTGAAGCTCTACTCTGAGCAGTGGTCAGGGTCCAGGGTTTGAGCGACGGGGCTCTGTCCAGTCAGACTGGCCTCACAGCTCACTGAGCCCGCCTTCCTCCACTGGTCTGCAGAGAGGCTCAGGGTGCTGCTCCAGCTGTAGCGACCGTCTGTCCCCAAGACCTCCAGGCTGCTTAACACACCTGAGGATGTGCTGGTGCTCCCCACCTTCCAGCCCAGCTTCCAGTTTGAAGGGAAGCCGCCGGTGGCCAAACACACCAGAGTGGCACTGCACTGCTTCTCTTCATCTTTGGATGGAGGGAGGACAGTGAGGGTAGGCCTCAACACACCCACTGGAGGAGAGAGAGGGAAGAAGAGCAACCAAAGACACAAGAATGAAAGCAGGAAAGAAATACCTACATGGTGTTTAATCATTGTTGAATGATGAATATTATTATTTCTTTAATGTTTTACAGTCAATAACTCATCTATGTGATAATTTTTAATGTCACACTCACAGAGTTGAAACACTCACGTACAGTTTAAACTTTGTCATCTGCTTTTTTCACTTCCTTTTAAACTACAAGTACAATCAGTCATCCATGAACTCAAAGCTGGTCTGTGTTTACTGACACTTTTTATTTTGGGGGAAATCCATAAAATACTGATATTTTCAAAATAGAAACAATAAAGAAATAAATCCACAAACACTATATTTGACAATCAAAGCTTGAAAATAACAAAACCTGAAATATTTTAACTGGGAAATACTAAAAAATATATGAATTAACATTTCATAGAAACTTAAAAATGAAAAGGGAACAAAATATTTTTATTGTGTGTGTGTTTTTTTGTGTTTTTTTGCATTAGTTTTAAAAAATAAATTCTGATATTTGTAAAACTGAATGAGTTTCTTAGGGAAGTTATTTTGCAGACTGTGAGATCAACTTTGTTTTATAAATAATGAAAATGATCAACAACAATCACCAAACTTGATCAAATATCTTTTCAAAATTTAATAAAATGTTTTGTAATGATAGTAAATTAAAATTTCTGGTACTTACAGTCAACGATGAGTTTGGTTCCTCCACCAAAAGTCCACCACAGTGATACAAACTCATTAAGTGGCCATACAAAAACCTCCTGCACTCTGATCAAACCTCTAACCACTGAAAATGAACCTTTTTTCATGTAAAACATCACAGCACACCTTATTAAATGCAGAAGATGATTTCACTAAAGTGACTTAAAGTGTTTAATAATTTTAAATCATGATTATCATAATCGTATTTTTAGCATTAAGAATTGAAAGACAAAACTTAATTTTCACATTACACATATTTATTTTAAAAGAAACCTCACACAAAGAAAACTGTTTAAAACAGCAAAGAGAGAGAAACGTTTCAAGAAATCATGAATTCTGAAACTATGAGAATATAACAAAGACAGTTTTACAGGTATATTGTATTTGTTGATACTAAAATCAAAAAGTAAACATACAAACCAGAGTGCCATTTTAATCCAGGTGTTCAAAATATGTAAATATGTTTCCAATATATTTTTCTCTATTCCATAAAATCTTTAAAGGTATTAGTTCAAAACTATTTTCTTTTGCTTTTGTGCCACAAAGTTTCCTTCGGTGTACTGAGAGCAGAGAAATCATTTCCATAGAGAGGAGGCTTTGCATCATCAGCTGATCCTCCAGAGAACTGAGAAGGTTTATAGTCCTGTGA